TCCAACTTCAAGAAATGAAAACAAAAGCTCTGTTTGAAAGGTGCTTTGTAATGACCTCAGAAACTAACTGACTTAAAGATTTTTGGAGGATCATTTTAAAATATCCTCAATTGTAAAAACCCTTATGGGTAAGGCTGGGAGGAAGTGAAAAGAGGACCTTGAACCTGCTTGGAAGAAACTGGGCCGAATGTGTAGACAAAAGGGATTTTGAAGGGGTTTTGGGGTAACCCTAGAATCCCGTGCCGTTAGGAACCATTGTGGCATTGGGAAAGTCCTTTGGGGGTTTGGGGGTTAGTGGGGGGGGGATGTGGAAAAGTTGGGGGAGGAGGACAATGAAAAACAAATTGAGAGCTGATAGATCAACTTCAAGAGCAAGAGGCCAGACCGAGGAAAATGTTCAGAGGGGGGGGAGAGAAAATTAAGAAGTTGGCCTACTACAAAGATAAAGGAAATCTGTGTAAGGGCTTGAGGCAAACCTTCATGGATGAAAATCACCCTCCCCCACTTTTTGCAAGCCGGCGGGATTATTACACTGAAAAGTGTGAAACATTTAGGGGAAGTATAAAAGGGCGAGAGGTACAGGCCCTATGGAAAATATCTTGTGCGAAAGAAGTCCGTGACTTGAAGCTGGCCCTAGTGGCATTAAAAGAAGAAGGAAGTAAAAAAAAAAAAAACCCAAAAAAAGGATTACTACTCAAGTCCTAAAGGAAGGGGGTTCCCCCTTTTAAAAACTAAAACCCTCTCCCTCTCCCATCCCTCAATCACACCAGATCTTCAATAAAGAAGTGTCATTTAATTTTGCATGCCTTTTTCAGTTTTTGTGTATTAAAATTAACATTTCATGTGGTAAAAAAAATTTTTTTTCATACTTTTGGGCGTCTTGCACGGATTAATTTTATTTCCATTATTTCTTATGGGGAAAATTCATTCGCATAACGATTATTTCGCATAACGATGAGCCTCTTGCACGGATTAAAATCGTTAACCGGGGGGTCCACTGTATATATTTTATATATTTTATATATATATATATATATATTATATATATATATATTTATATATATATATAATATATATATATATATTATATATATATAATATATATATATATATTGTGTGTCTGGCTTGGTGAGGCTTGGGAACAAAATTGGGATTTTGCTGCCAATCCCACATACGGTTTGCTGGTGGATACTGGACATCATAGGCTGGTTGTGCGGGTGGTTGTGGTTGTGGTGGGCTGGTGGCTGATGCTCCGCTTTGTCCTTGAACTGACGAGTCAGCAGCGTGGGTCCCAGCGTGGGCTGGTGAGTCACGCATGGCGGTGCCACTACCATCACCACTACCACCATCCACTGATGCCTGTGGTCTATCCATGCCAAGTGTAGCCACATCATCCTCACTATCACTACCTAAAACTGGTGTAGGGCCACGGGATGTACTCCGGGACGTACTCCGTCCCCTGGGCACAGCATAGGGTACACTACCCGAGTGCATGCAGCGGCAAACATACCGATGCTTCACTGGTGAATATGATTCCTCACTATCACTACTCGAATGATCGTCGAGCGCAATAAAATCACAGTCCACGTCACTATCATCATCATTACTGAAGTCAGAGGCCTGGCCACGCGAAAATATTAGTTTTCTTTTGCGATGAGGAACAACCGACCATGAGTCACGAGTGCCCACACCAGAGGTAGAAGGTTGAGGATCGTCAGGGTTTTCTGCACTATTATCGATATCCTGGTCATTCCTTTCGGTCACTAACTGATCAAAGCCGTAGAATTCATCTTCATTTCCACTTCTATCAGTGTCAGAACTATCAGATAGGAAGAGGAGAGTCCCAATTTTGCGGGGAGTGAGAGCTGACTTGCGACGAGGCATGGTGAACAAGGGTAACTGAGCCGGCATTCCCACAATGCTATGCGGGCGCCTAGATTTTTTGTTTATGGCGCACACCCACCACGCAGACCCGTTCTCTAACATGTAGGCCTATGAGCGCTTTTGCGCTAAATTTGACGGCGCTAGAATTTTGGTGTAGATCTATGGTTTGGACACTCATCGTGAAGCCGTAGATCTACGGGACGGACCCTGAAAGGGTTAATGCCTAGTTCTATTACTAACTTAATATAATTTAGTGTAAACTTGTTATCTGGCATTTATATGCATTTATAAATGGAAAAAATGGTGTTCTGCCTTCCGGCGATGCCTGCTTTCCGGCGACAGCCTGGAATCTAATCCGCCGTATAAGTGGGGCCCTACTTATGTGTGTGTATATATATATATACAGGTCTCCCTCAACATTCGCAAGGGTTAGGGGATCAAGAGCCTCGCGAATGTTGAAAAACCGTGAATGTTTGGTGCCCCAATATATTGTAGGGAAATATATTACAATACTGCTTCCTTAACTTGTTGAACCATGAATAATCATAAAATACATGAAAACGTCGTAAATTGTACTAAATATATACATGTTATGCTTTAATAACGTATGTTATTTAATAACATGTATGTTATTAAATACCACAGACTCCACCAATGCCTCCACCACTGCGAGTCCCTACTACCCTCCCTCCGACCCCCGCAACTGGCAGCCAGCCCTCCCACCACTCAGTGTGGTGAGTGTTTGTTTGTTCATTATTTGCTATTAAACTACAGAATAAATAATGTAAACCCATTCATGACTGCATATTGGAATGGCTATTAGGAAAGGTATTAGACGGTGACATCATGTGTTTACTCTTGAACACTGCAAAGAATCGAACATTTCTGCTATTGATAATAATAATAATAATAATAATAATAATAATAAAAATAAATAATAATAATAAAATACGATAAAAATTGAAGAAGGAAATTTTTACAAAAATACGAGGGAGTGGTTGACACATCGTCAGTGTGACTTTGTTTATGCTGGAGTGAACATTAGTCTCCCTGCTCTTCCAAACATTTCACAATAATTCAGCGGTTGAGGCAGTGGTATTTAATAACATATATGTCATAAATTCGGAGTGTGGAAATTAGGAGAGGGTGTGGAGTTAATAAAAGCATTAGTCAGAGGGCAGAAGAGGGGTTGTTGAAAGGGGGTTTGGTCATTTAGAGAGAATGGATCAAAGTAGAAAGACATGGAAAGCATATAAATCTATAGGGGAAGGAAAGAGGGGTAGGGGTCGTCCTCGAAAGGGTTGGAAAGAGGGGGTAAAGGAGGTTTTGTGGGCGAGGGGCTTGGACTTCCAGCAAGTGTACATGAGCGTGTTAGATAGGAGTGAATGGAGACGAATGATACTTTGGGACCTGACCCATCTGTTGGAGTGTGAGCAGGGTAATATTTAGTGAAGGGATTCAGGGAAACCGGTTTTTTTCATATAGTCGGACTTGAGTCCTGGAAATGGGAAGTACAATGCCTGCACTTTAAAGGAGTGGTTTGGGATATTGGCAGTTTGGAGGGATATGTTGTGTATCTTTATACGTATATGCTTCTAAGCTGTTGTATTCTGAGCACCTCTGCAAAAGCAGTGATAATGTGTGAGTGTGGTGAAAGTGTTGAATGATGATGATGAAAGTATTTTCTTTTTGGGGATTTTCTTTCTTTTTTGGGTCACCCTGCCTCGGTGGGAGACGACCGACTTGTTGAAAAAAAAAAAAAAATGTTATAAATAATAATAGTACATGTTATTATTAATAACATGTATTATTATTAACATGTATGTATTTAATAACATATATGTTATAAATAATAATAATAGTACATATTATTAATAACATGTATTAATATTAACATGTATGTTATTAAATACCATTGCCTCAATCACTGCCTCTACCACTCCAGTCACACTCAATCTACAAGCACCAAACACAATGAATTATTGTGAAATGTTTGGAAGAGCAGGGAGACTAATGTTCACTCCAGCATAAACAAAGTCACATTGACAATGTGTCAACCACTCCCTCATATTTTTGTACAATTTCCTTCTTCAATCATATTTATTATTATTATTATTATTATTACTATTGTTATTATTAGCTGTAGCGGAAATGTTTAATTCTTTGCTGTGTTCAAGAGTAAACACATGATGTCACCGTCTAATACCTGTCCGAATAGCCATTCCAATATGCAGTCATGAATGGGTTTACATTATTTATACTGTAGTTTAATAGCAAACAATGAACAAACAAAACACTCACCACACTGAGTTGTGGGAGGGCTGGCTGCCAGTTGCGGGGGTCGGAGGGAGGTTAGTAGGGACTCGCAGGTGGCGGGAAACTTAAATATGATTTGGCGGCTGGGAATTTGGTGGCTGGGAATTTGGCGGTTGGGAATTCGTGAATGTGTGAAGCCCGTGAAAGTTGAAAATGTGAATGTTGAGGGAGACCTGTATATATACATACATGTATGTTTCTTTCAACACACCGGCCATATCGCACCGAGGTGGGGTGGCCCAAAAGGAAAAACAAAAGCTTCTCCTTTTAAATTTAGTAATATATACAGGAAAAAGGGTTACTAGCTCCTTGCTCTTGGCATGTTAGTCGCCTCTTATGACACGCATGGCTTACAGAGGAAGAATTCTGTTCCACTTCCTCATGGAAGTGGAACAAATGCTTCCTCTGAGCCATGCATGTCGTAAGAGGCGGGTATGATGATGGGACCCAGGGGCTAGTAACCCCTTCTCCTGTATACATTACTAAAGTTAAAAAGAGAGACTTTAGTTTTTTCTTTTTGGGTCACCATGCCTTGGTGGGATACGGCCGGTTTGTTGAAAGAAGAAATGGGTTATTAATGGTTTTAGGTGACTTGGTGTAGTAGGTCCCTCACAAATAGCCATAGGTGAGGTAAAGATAGATTAGAGAGTACAGTACAGTGTAAATAGTGTTGTTTGAGGTACACAGTAACGTATCTTGGAGAGGATGCCTACTGTTCTGGAGACCTAAGTTATGTCCTTTATGTGGGTATTAAATTTTTAGAAGAAGAATTAATTATGTTTCTATATTTACTTCTTCAGGTGGACCAGTATTTGTGTGTTGCTGATGACTGTTCCTTGATCATTAAGACATTGATCAGTTGGTGCGAGGTACACAAGCTGCAGCTGATACTGACCACTGGTGGTACAGGCTTTAGTCCACGGGACATCACACCCGAAGCTGTGAAGAAGGTTTGCTTATAGATTTGTCACTCTTTTGGATCTCAATGTACTATTTGTAAAGACATAAATAAATAAAAAAAAAATAAAAAATAATTAGTCCATCCTCAAGAATGTAAAATATTCATCATGTCAAGGAATGTTTTGACATTTCTTTGTAAGTTTTTATGCAGTGGAGCTATTATAATTTTTGTAAATACAGCCTCTCCTCACTTAGTGACGTACTCGTTTATCGACGACTTGGACTTTTGACGGGCTCTCTGGCCAGTATGCATACGTAAATAATACATATTAGAGCTGATTTCCTCTATTCTGTATATTACAATACAGTGGACCCCCACATAACGATCACTTCCGAATGCGACCAATTATGTAAGTGTATTTATGTAAGTGCGTTTGTACGTGTATGTTTGGGGGTCTGAAATGGACTAATCTACTTCACAATATTCCTTATGGGAACAAATTCGGTCAGTACTGGCACCTGAACATACTTCTGGAGTGAAAAAATATCGTTAACCGGGGGTCCACTGTATACGTACAGTACACTACTATGTAAACATTTAAAAATATACCAGAAATGTTATAAATGGCACAGTGATATTAAAACAATATCAAAGATGGTTGACACAAACCCACTACCATTATAGTATGTTCCTCACTTAGTGACGAATTCATTTACCGATGTGGTCTTAGGAACGGGACTCCATCGTTAAGTGAGGAGAGGCTGTATTTGATTTAATGGGCTTAAGAAATTCAGGACAAAAATTTGCCAAATCAGTTGATTTGGCAACAATAAACAAAGTCTTTTGCTTACATAATTGTCTGTTATTGTTACAATCACTGAAAAACAATCTGCTCTCTGTCAGCCACAGTTGGCATTACAGGCAGCTCGATCCTCCATGTTAGTCTGAAAAAAAAAATAGAATAATACCTGCTGAAAGTGCCAGATGAGCCAGGCTGTGATAGCTGTGTAGGTCTGTGAGGCACTAGCAGCAACAGCCTGATTGATCATGTAGTCAAAATATGAGATGATGAATTAGACACCTGTAACACCTGGGTATCTTTATTTTGTAGACATTTCATCAACCAGATACCCAGGTGATATACACATCTAATTAATCATGTCAGTATTGCTTACTCTGCTGTTGGGTGCTAATTCTCAGGATATTTCAAGTTGCAGCCTATGCTTATTTATCACTCAGAATATCCTAGAGCAGTGATTCTCAACCAGAGGTAAATTTACCCCTTGAGGGTAAAAAATTACATGGCAAGGGATAAATGTATATTGCTATTTTTGTGCAAAACCTGAATAATTTATTTTTTTCAGACCACCTTGTTTTTCTGTCCCTTTATGATGACGATAAATTTTTTGTATGGAAGTAAGTGGGTAAATGGACAAATACATCAAGCCGAGGGGGTTAATGATGGAGGAAAAGTTGAGAATCCCTGTTAGTGTTTAAACAACAAAAGGAATCCTAGGGCAGATTGGGTGGAAATAAGACACTGTCTTACTTTTATAGGGGTTATCCTAGGTAATCTACACATGTGCTGCTATGTATGAAAATTTATGTGTATAACTGTATTTATGTGTACTTATACCTGAATAAACTTACTGGCATCTTGGAACTAATTACCATAAAATTGTGTATTTTGAGGTTTGAGTTAACAATACATCTTCTGGAACGGATTAATATCGTAACTTGAGGGACCACTGTAATTTAATTTGGGACTTCATGTACTGAGTATTGTATAAGGTTTATCTATAGCTTCTTGCCAAAAGTGACAGTGATCCACTCTACTTCTGGCAGTTACAGTCTCCCATTGTCTAGTGCATATTTGATGTTATACACATAGGTTGCAATGTACAGTGGACCCCCGCATAACGATCACCTCCGAATGCGACCAATTATGTAAGTGTATTTTAAGTGCGTTTGTACGTGTATGTTTGGGGGTCTGAAATGGACTAATCTACTTCACAATATTCCTTATGGAAACAAATTCGGTCAGTACTGGCACCTGAACATACTTCTGGAGTGAAAAAATATCGTTAACCGGGGGTCCACTGTACATAAATTATGGTATAATTCATAATACAGTATTAATACAAGTAGATCAGCAATTATCTGATACCATCAGGGAAGGTTGTACCAATGTTTTCAAAATATTGGATAATTGCATAATTTTTCATGGTCTGTACTGTTTGCACATTTCATCTCCTGATGCTCCCTTTGAAAAATGTTAGTTACATGACAGGTAAATGTCAGATATTAGGCAAGTTACACTATGCTATTTTCTCATTGTATAATTAAGTTATCAGTAGTCATTTGACAGTTTGAGTTGCCGTGTCAAGTTTGATTTTCAAATGTTGTACCATTTGTTATAAATGCAATATTTGACTTTTAGGTTATTGGACGAGAAGCACCCGGATTGTCAGTATGCATGTTGACTGAGTCACTCAAGATCACCCCACTAGCCATGTTGTCAAGGCCAGTTTGTGGCTATCGAGGCCGAACATTAATTGTAACATTACCAGGAAGCAAGAAGGCGTCTGAGGAATGCGTAAGGTAAGAATACCATCATGGTCTTCATCACTCTCTACCTCTATTCACATTTCCTCTACGCTTCATTCTAGAACATGAAAATGTGATCCTTTGTGTTTTAAATGAGAAACCTAGTTTGGAATACAGGTGAGTGTTTAATTATTGAGTGGGTTATCGGTGAGTAAAACACACGTGCTACACCTGGGTATCTTTTTCAAGTCATTTTGCTTGCACAGCAGGCTTTCAATATATTACAGACTGCTATTATTCTGGAGACAGGAAGTAATGGGGAGGTAATCTTAAAGTCTTCAGTTCATTAGCGTAAATAGAAGGGGTTCAACTTGTTGGTACTTTATACCATTAATGTTATGATATTGTCCTGTGTTATGAGACACTTTGATGTCTCCAGGACACACCATGACCACCACACACTTTCCTCTACAAATCTCTCTGTTTCTTATTCTTTTTTTTCCCCCCCACTGAGGCAGGGTGACCCAAAAAGAAAGGAAAAACCCAAAAAGAAAGAGAAAACTTTCATCATTAAACACTTTCATCATCATTCATACATAATCAGTCTTTGCAGAGGCTCTCAGATATGACAGTTCAGATGTCACTCCAAACAGCCAATATCCCAGACCCCTCCTTTAAAGTGCAGGCATTGTACTTCCCAACTCCAGACTCGAGTCTGGCTAACTGAACTTATTCCAGGTACATAGATTTGCTTGGACATGAACAACAGCAAACTATCATCAACCAATTAACACATCAGAAGGCAGCCATAAGAATTATTTCATACTAGATATAGCAAGCTCTCCTTATTTAACTATGTTTGTCTTTCTCAGTTTTCAGTGTCAATTTTGTAATATTCTCTGCAATAAGAATTTTTTTTTATTTTAGGTTAGATGAAGTTAGGATATGTTACGGAGATGTATAAAAATGTATATTTGATCACAAATCAACAAGTTAAAAAATGAGTACCACTTGTCTGGCAGCATAGTGTCTTAAGTAATCCCAGGCAACATTCAAAAGGAAATAGATAAGAACAAGAACTATTTAGAAAATAGAAGAACATTGATATCTGTGTGTATACCAGTTTTAATTGACAGGAGCATCTATAGACAGTGGAAGAAGTAGACACTCATGCAGAGCAAAAGGGGCAAATTACAAGTGTGAAAACAGCTCTCTGTCACAGTCTGGGTTATTGAGAGAGCACTGTACTCTGTCACATTTATCTGAGTCAGGGTGACACCAGACTAATGACTATTTCAAATTCACTTTATTTACACAGTTTGAAACTTGAAATATTGTTTGTTACTCAATTGTCAGCAAACTTTTTATGCATTTCAGGGCAAAATTTCTTTTGCAGAGACTGTTGCATAGTATTTAGTGCTTGTCAGTAAAGTATTCCAGCCTCCCTCTCAAACCACAATCACAAAACAAAAAAAAAAGTGTGTATCTACTGTGAAGGCTTACTCAGCCCTGTCAGCTCCTGAGTAAGGAATTGAAAATGCTGGCTCCTCCTTATGTAAATAAATGATGCAAAACATAATAATAACATGAGAAGATAAACATTTTTATTGCACGATTTAAAGCATAAATGTAAGACAGTTAAATATGAGAATTAATCCTACTTGAAGGAAAAATGAAAGATGAAATACAGTGGACCCCCGCATAACGATTACCTCCGAATGTGACCAATTATGTAAGTGTATTTATGTAAGTGCGTTTGTACGTGTATGTTTGGGGGTCTGAAATGGACTAATCTACTTCACAATATTTCTTATGGGAACAAATTCGGTCAGTACTGGCACCTGAACATACTTCTGGAGTGAAAAAATATCGTTAACCGGGGGTCCACTGTATATAAATAATACGTGAATTCAAAACTAATTTGTACAGATGTAATTGTAGAAGGGCATGTTGATGTTGTTGACACCATGCTTTGAAGAGTGTCAGAACTCTCAAACCGTTGTTGAAGAGAGGGTGGGGGTCACAGCTGTTTGTGACTCGAAAGACGGTTCCCATAATACAATTCGGCCAAGGTGGACTTATCCTCTGATCACCATAGTGTTAAGTAACCCGACAAGACACATAGTTGCCCTGGGTGTGTAGCTGGCTAGGATGATTGGTTAAATGTGGAAGGGGGCAGTTGGATTGTAGGTATGTTTGGGTAGTTAGGATCACTAGATCTTTGCCAGATCCCTGCTGTCCTTATCTTACCTCGCCCGTGTCAGATGAACCATGCCGACAAATCAAGGCTATAATTTATTTTTTTTTTTATTATCACACTGGCCGATTCCCACCAAGGCAGGGTGGCCCGAAAAAGAAAAACTTTCACCATCATTCACTCCATCACTGTCTTGCCAGAAGGGTGCTTTACACTACAGTTTTTAAACTGCAACATTAACACCCCTCCTTCAGAGTGCAGGCACTGTACTTCCCATCTCCAGGACTCAAGTCCGACCTGCCGGTTTCCCTGAACCCCTTCATAAATGTTACTTTGCTCACACTCCAACAGCACGTCAAATATTAAAAACCATTTATCTCCATTCACTCCTATCAAACACGCTCACGCATGCCTGCTGGAAGTCCAAGCCCCTCGCACACAAAACCTCCTTTACCCCCTCTCTCCAACCTTTCCTAGGCCGACCCCTACCCCGCCTTCCTTCCACTACAGACTGACACACTCTTGAAGTCACTTTGTTTCGCTCCATTCTCTCTCTACATGTCCGAACCACCTCAACAACCCTTCCTCAGCCCTCTGGACATACAGTTACAGCCTGCTCCTAAATCACTCGCACGATAGGCGTACATCCTTTAAAAGAAATGGTGAGGATTAATAAAAAAGTGGCTTTAAATTCAAAACAAGGCAGGAATAAACACAAGTATAAAGCCAACAACCATAAAAAAGAGTGAAGCTCTTAAGACAAACCCAAATAGAAAAAATAGTACAGGATTGGAATGCATATTTACAGGTTTGATGGAAGCAGCCAGTCAAGTGATTTCTCCACTGGTTGGAGATTCATACATCACCTCCCACTGGGTGAAAAGGATGGGGCGGGGGAGGGAAGTGGGAGCTAGACACTCCACATGCCTTAACTAGCAGACTGCCAACAAACAACCATCACCATACATTCATAATTTCTCTACTCCTATATTGAACTTTTTCCTCATACTACCAACAATTTAATGTTTTGAAAGTCATCCCTTGCCCTTTAGGACATTCTTCAACCATCTAGAAAGTGATATACATAAATTCTCGAGGTTTTTTGGGGAAAATTCTCCCATGATTTGTGGATGGTGACCATCAGCCATGGGAGTGAGCTGATGTCTTTTCCTATAGATCTCTATCACAACCTAGAGGCTTCAGTGGGATGCTACTCTGGGGAATATCTTGGCCAGTTTTCAAAGAAGGGTACTTCACAGTTAAGAAGCCACTGAAGAATTGGTATGGCAGTGTGGCAAGGAGCATTGCTTTGCTTAACCCTTTCGGGGTCTGTGCCATAGTACCGTGGGTTTGAACTTAGAGTCTGTGCCATAGTTCTGTACCTAAATTCTAGCAGCTTCAGATTTAGCACAAAAAGACTGGTAGGCCTACATATGAGAGAATGGGTCTGTGTGGTTAGTGTGCACAGTACACTGTGAAAGTGTAATTCCACAAGAACAGTACACTGCGAAAGCGTAATTCCATGAGTTTTCCATCAAATTTCATACCTTTGATTTCATTACTTTCAGAAAAAGATTCTTTATCATTTCATAATTTTTTTTTTTAAACTCTCCAACCCTGAGAGCAAACCATACCACAGGTGGGGTTTGAACCCGCGGTCAGAGAGTCTCAAAACTCCAGACTGTCGTGTTAGCCACTGGGCCAGGTTAGCATAGGCACAGTGGTGCCTATGCTAACTTTCCTATGGTGTAGAAATACACCTAGTTGGATGAATCTTATTGAAGCTAACTGGCCCAGAGGGCTAACGCAACGGTCTGGAGTTTTGAGACTCTCTGACCGCGGGTTCAAACCCCACCTGTGGTATGGTTTGTTTACAATCGTGTCATTATGATTTCCTGAGAGCAAGTTTCAGGTCAGGGGTTCCAACCCTCAAAGGCTTAAATTCAAATTTAATGATGAGCACTGTATGTGTTGCATGTGAAGCAGTGTTTATGGGTACTCTGAATGAAAGATTAGAGTGGTGACTCTTCCTCCCAGAAGCAGAGTCAACAGTGGAGTTAAATAAGACAAAGTCTACACTTGAACATAGCTGACAAAACTTATATTGAATACCGGACATAACTGTTAGAATGTCGGCTCACAGTGACATAGTGTAAGATATCTGTTTTGTGAAAATTTGACGTGTTTGATGGATCCGCTGTAGAATGTACTGACCTGTCTTGAGTCTGTGAGAAGGCTGATTTCTGCCTGCCTGGTGTAGGAGACTGGCCTGTGATCTATAATGTCACCATGCTTCTAGGAAGATAGTGATTGAATGAATGATGGTGAAAAATAAGTTAGAACTGTTTCATTTTCTCACCTGTAAACCCCATGTTTTTGACCATTGCCTTTTCCTCAACATCAACTCTCCCAACTATCTCTTTTTTCTCTGTCGTGCAACACTAATGACTCTTGCAGGTATGTGTTAGCATTCTCACTAACTATAATAATAATAATAATAATGAGGAAGAGGAGGAGGAAGAATAATAAATAATAAATTCTCTCTATTGCTTACCATACCTGTTTGACTCTTGACACACAGGTTTACTGCATTTTTGTGAAGACGATACTGTAATGTTTTGTATTTTCAACAGGTTTATTGCACCTGCTATTCCACATGCCGTTGACTTACTTATGGATTGGAAAGTACCAGTAGAGAAGACCCATGATGCTTTACAAGCTGAGGGAAGTAGTTGTAGACATCATACCACGGCCTGTCAGCATCATCAACCCAGTGCTCATCAGCATCAACATGCTCATCACTATCACCATCACAAATGTCACCATCACCAGAGAGATGAGACTGGAAATACAACATCGAAGGCTGATGTAACTCGTATTTCTGGTAGGCCAAGGAAGTCTCCCTACCCGATGATATCTGTCTCAGAAGCTCTTGAGATTATCCTCTCTCATGCAGACCAGTGTACTAATAAGGTTGTTCCTATGCAAGATGCTCTGGGGTTTGTCTTGGCTCAAGACATCATAGCCAATGATCCACTTCCTCCATTTCCAGCTTCCATTAAAGATGGATACGCTGTGTTGTCATCCGATGGTGCTGGTGTGCGAGTTGTAGATGGCGATTCAGCAGCTGGATGTCGACCGGAGAAGTTGAAAGTGAGCAGTGGGAAGTGCGTGAGAGTGAACACTGGTGCACCAATACCACTGGGAGCTGATGCTGTGGTCCAGGTACAGTCTATATATTGTTGAGTTTAATAATGTTCAATAATAATCAATTATAACATTAGTCCTTTAACTCATAAAGCTGTAGAATTTGAATTGGTAGAAGAAATCACAAAATGCTGACAATGTAAAATATGAACATATTTACATGTTCAGGGTCTTGGCCACATCAACACATTGAGAGTGGACTTTATTTTAGATTTTTTTTTTTTACTTGTAAAGCAAACTGTTATCTGATATAAGATCTGCTCTTTATGTTTTTTACTTTTTATTATAGTAAATCATACACTGTATATACTCACATATAGGTGGAAGTTTTAAGACCAGAATTTTTAAGCAAAAGTTGAAAGCGACACATTCATAAGAAATACTTTTGAAAAGTTGAAATCTTTGAATTTTGAGGGCTTTCCATGAACTAGATTCATACTTCTTTGGTGCATCAATGTCAAAAACCACACTTAGTAAACATTCTGCTTTAAATATAAAAATAAATTTGATAATAACCAGTAGTTTCATATGCATGCTCTTCCTTTTGTATTTTGTCGGGAGTTTATAAGACCAACATGCAACATTGAGACCTACTTCCTAGTTGCTGGGGAAGAAATAATGGTCAAAGCTGGACAAAAATTAGGAAGAGAACTGGAGCTCCCTTCAAGAATATATATGGAAACTAGAAAGTTCCCAATTACATCTGGTGGATCCCTTGCCTAAACCCTGGCAGAGCCAGATGGCCACACTACTGAGTCAGCAACTTTGTATTGTGCCAAAACAAAAGCATTTACATTGCTAAACTCACAAATTATAATGTAGTCACTTAGCCTTAATACTATAATCTGTAAGGATTTAATGTTAAGAATTAATCTAAGTCTGCCCAAAATGCCTAGCCATGCTAGGTGTCCTAGTGGCCCCCTCTGTAATTAGTAATTTATAACATGTAAACCACACATTACCCAAAACCTGTAAACCCCACATTGTAACCCTTATAGAGAATAAGCTTGATTTGATTGATTTGATTTAACCCCCAAATTATAGAAAGCAGATTAGGGGAAAAAAATAAAAAAGCTGATGTGTAATGATAGCCTGAGCAGCTGAGAGCCTGCAATGTATGATGAGGACAAGCATCCGGGGAGAGAATGAAGGAATTTGTCACTGATGCTTAAAGGCAACATAGTGAGATGCCCACACTCGACTAAGGCTCACACTGAAGACCTCCCTCTTATTTGTTTCTTAACAACAAGTGATCACTGCAGAGTTGCCTGATTGGCTACTGTTTCCATCCTCAAGACTAAGGAATACTTCATTTTGTTTTTCAGTTTATTAATATGAAATGCAAATGTAAGCAAACATTATTGTTCCATTTATTTTGGTGTGGGATGAATGCTGCAGGTAATTGCATAGGGTGCAATGATAGTGAGGGTGTCACATGCCCACCCCTAATTCTCCTCCCACAGTTAACCATTTCTCCAACTTCTCCCACTAGCCAACCACACGTACTAGACCTGGATAATCACCTATAAACAAAACAACATAAATATTGAATTAGTTTTTTTTTCAATATCTGCCAAACAAATATGTTAGATATTAATTGGGCTTAGCTAGCATGGGCCAGTAGACTGGCTGGTGCACCACTGTTCTTATGTTCTTCTGTAATGTTTGAGTATGAGTAGCATGTCCTACTTTATTCTTTGTTCATGAAGTGTTTAGCATTAGTATTTCTCCCTCTTTTTGTTGTAAATATTTTGAAGTTTTTGATGCTATTTTTATTTTCAGTAATTTTTCAGTGTCTTCTAGAATATAATTTGCATCAGAACCATTTGACCTATATTAAATTCCATTAAAAACTAGGATGGACATAATTATATGTAGGAAGTAAATGGTATAAAATACTGACACAGTGGAAAAATAAACACATAAGGAGTATAACGTGATCCTTTATTGACAACGTTTTGCCCACACAGTGGGCTTTATCAACTCACAGATTGATCTACCTGGGTGAAAGGTACATGAGTATTTATAGGATGGAGTCAGATGGAGAATGCTGGGTAGGTTGGATCTGAACCTGCATGTGACATTCTTCCAAGTAGGGTGATAAAGGCTAGGACCTTGGGTAGCTTGAAAAAGAGATTGGATAAGTATGAGTAGACCTTGCAGTGTTCCTCCATTCTCATGTTCTTATGTGGGATAACGATGAAGAAGTTTCTTCATTGTTATCCCACATAAGAACATAAGAATGGAGGAACACTGCCGAAGGTCTACTCATATACTTATCCAATCGCTTTTAAAAGCTGCCCAAGGTCCTAGACTCTATCACCCTACTTGGAAGATTGTCACAGCATTCTCCACCTGACGCCATCCTATAAATACTCACGTACCTTTCACCCAGGTAGATATGTTTGTGGCTTGATAAATTCCACTGTGTGGGCAAAATGTTGCCAATAAAGGATCACATTATACTGCTTATGTGTTTTTTTTTTTCCATAATTATATGTAAATGAGATTATTAAAATTTAAGGATTTTTTAATTAAAGAAAAGTCAGGGGCTGACTTGAGCACACCATTGGGTTATATTAGATTGCATAGGGAATTCTAAAAATTTAGAGTGTATACTACTGTACTTGGTATATTTGATTTATGTATTGAGTTGATAATGATGAGTTTAATTTGAATATTGGTCAGGTAGAAGACACAGAACTTGTGAAGGAAGCTAATGATGGTCGCACTGAGCTTGAAATTAAGATCTTGAAAGCTCCTAGCAAGGGACAAGACATTCGGCCACTGGGTTGTGATATAGCTGTAGGGCAGAAGATTTTGTCATCGGGTACTCTTCTTGGACCTGCAGAACTGGGACTTCTGGCCACAGTGGGAGTGACAAATGTTCTTGTTGTTAGCAAGCCTACATTTGCTGTTCTTTCCACTGGTATGTTGCTTACTAATGATAATTTGCTACTAAGTACCTATTCAGGATATACGAGGCCGATTCACAAATGCATAAACGCCAAGAAGTAAATGTTTTGAACTTTTAAATTAATATACTAACTTTAATTATTATTTTTTTTTTTTAGAGCAAATTTTAGCTGTCCATTGTGATGGTATAAACTAACAAGTTGTAGATTATTTATAGTAATGGTAATGCAGCTTGTCCCATTGTATTTCTGTTGTAACTAACTTGCTGTGTCCTCACCATCTTTATTCCGTCACTCCACAAAACTGAAGATCATTGAATCACTTTGAAGTACGTGTAATTCTTTTGTAATTGGCTTTGTCATTAGCTGCCTTTCTAATTGTACTTACAATTCTAGTTAACTGCATAGAAAGTCCCACTTAATACTCTGTCTAGATCTTAAGTAATATTTAAGTCTTATGATTAGTTGCAAGAAATACATTGCATAACTAGTGGCTTTCTTTTGTGCCTATCCAGTGTTATATTACATGAAAATTACGTTATTTATACTGCATAAAGAAATAAAAATTGTATGTAGGGCATGTAACAAAAAATACATAATTTCTAGTAAATTTAAGAATAATTATTATACAAGTTTTTTGTTTAATAAAGTTCACTTTTGATTACCTACCAAGTGAGGCTTCGCTAGTGATTTATTTAAATATATTTCTGATTTTCTGTTTAAAACCCCTTCAAGGAGGGTGCCTTGATGCTTATGAAGGGCTCTTGATCCACTTGAAGGTACCCTCCCTTTCCTTGTATCAAATATGATTACCTTCCATTCCTCAGGTACTGCAAGACCCTCTATAAGGTTTAGTGCTTCCCATGAATATAATAATAAATCAGTCTTTGTCATGATTTTGTACTCGTGTTACTCACATCTGTTAGCATTTCATTTATAATCTTATTTATTTTCCAACACCATGACTCGAAACCCTTAAATGGTTGGTGATGTAGATCAATGACAATGGGATCATTGTCAGAGCTGTAGATATTGGCATGAATCATATTGCTTTCAGACTTGCAGAGTGGGGCAAATTTTGGCTTAGGCATGAAAGAATTAGTCTGTGTGATGGGTGTGTGCAGTATAAAAAAAAACTCCTGCCCCACAAAGTGTACGATGGGAACAGCTTAACCTCTGGCCTTGTGTTTGGGTCGAAATAGTGACTTTGGGGGCATTTTTTAGTGTAATTTTATGGTTGTATTAGCTTTCTTGGTGAAACAAAGGTGATTTGCTTCAGTTTAAAACTAGAGGAGAGGCCGGAAATAAGCATTAAATTGGCGAAATATGATCTTCATAAAGGAGGTATCCTCCTTAATTCCCCCTCAGTCTGTTTAATAGGGTTTTATTAGGTTGGCTTCAATTACTGGGTCAGGCTTGGTTATGGTTTATTAGCTGAAAAATAGGAAAAAAAGGGTTAATTTTTGGAGGTCAAGTGTTACATACGAAAAGCCTGGGGAGGACATGATTAATGAACAGAGGAAAAGTTGCTTTAGTGGCTGGAATGTTTGCAGAGTTTGTTTAGGACTCTCTTTAAATTGGAATTTGTTGAAAATACCGTATTGTATAATGGGATGAATTACGGAATTCCTGTACTAAACAGGGTAGTTCTGAAAGATGAATGAGCAATTTCTTGCACTCAGTAGTACAGAAGGCATGCTAGTGAAATAGCTGAGAATTGGAGGTTTGAGTAGTGGAATAGACCTAAAATAGGCAAACAACAGTACGGGTGGGGTTTGAACTTGCGGGAAGTGAGTTGTAAAACTCCAGGCCAGCACGTAAGCCACTGGGCCAGCTGGCTTCAATAAGATTCATCCAACTATGTACATATGTATATTTATATACCATAGAGAGGTTAGCATGGGCCCCCATTGTGACCACAGATGCAAGTTTTTACAGATGAATCTCCCACCAGCATGGCCATGACAAACTTTAGCTGAAGTCCCCTCAAAGCCATCATGACTTGCAAAATTGTAATGACTAATCGTAATGTTAACCTCCTTATGGAGTATAAATATACCTAGTTGGGCGAATCTTATTGTAGCCAGTCGGCCCAGTGGCTTATGTGCTGACCTGGAGTTTTACAACTCACTTGCCGCGAGTTCAAGCCCCACCCATATTGTGGTTTGTTTGCAGTCGTGTCATTACAATTTCACGAGTTGTGATGATGGCTAAGATAGGCTTCAAAGTGGGTGAAATTGATGTGGCATAAAGTGCTTCTTGATCACCAACTTTGCACTTGCATAATTTCTTAAGTATTATATCAAATTTTGTTTTGTGTTTTTACCTTCAGAAAAAAGTCTTCACCATTATAGATTTTTTTTTTAAATACAGCACAGTATGGTCTTTCAGTTTGGGAGTTTCTGACAGCTTAGCAGTTAAAACTAGTAGTAAAATTAGTGTTTAATTTAAATAAGCAGGCAGGACACCTATCATAATTATATTCCTCTTTTGTAAGAGGAAGCCCTGCTTCATTCCTGTCCCTCTTGTCTGGGGTATGTACCAAGCTGATCTATATCACTTAGTCCTGGCTTCACTAAATCAGTTTGAAACACCTATGAAAGCAGTATTAATCTTCTTCTTTCAACACACCGGCCGTATCCCACCGAGGCGGGGTGGCCCAAAAGGAAAAACAAAAGTTTCTCCTTTTACATTTAGTAATATATACAGGAGAAGGGGTTACTAGCCCCTTGCTCCCAGCATTTTAGTCGCCTCTTACAACACGCATGGCTTACGGAGGAAGAATTCTGTTCCACTTCCCCATGGAGGTAAGAGGAAATGAACAAGAACTAGTAAGAAAATAGAAGAAAACCCAGAGGGGTGTGTATATACTATATGCTTGTACATGTATGTGTAGTGTGACCTAAGTGTAAGTAGAAGTAGCAAGACGTACGTGAAACCTTGCATGTTCACGAGACAGAAAAATGGACACCAGCAATCCTACCATCATGTAAAACAATTACAGGCTTTCGTTTTACACTCACTTGGCAGGACGATAGTACCTCCCTGGGCAGTTGCTGTCTACCAACCTACTACCTGTTGTCATGTAGGGGGGTAATGATTAGGGAATGGGTAGGAGGGTATGTATTAGCAGGAAGCAGCAAGTGTAGGTAAGATGATTAGCGAGTGTAGGTATGTGAGGTCACTGTGACACAACTTCACCCTCATTACTACCCACCACTCCACACTACTCACCCTCTCACTACTTTAACTGAAATAAACTAATGAATAAATAACGGGGACAGTGAATATTACTATTCTACTCAAACACAGTTTATTATTAAGTCTTTGTACAATAATATATTTGGGAACAGGAGTACATCATTGGGGTTTAGATAAATGGGGTGGTACACATAAGCAGTGAGACAGGGAACACAATCAACTTGACGAAAATGAATATAACTTACAATATAGTACAGAGGACAGTTCACTACAGGAACTAAGCCACAGGTCCCAAGACCTACACAGCACGAGTACTGCTCCAAGCCAGTACTCTGCCCAATGTCTCCAACAGTCTCTCCTCCCGAGACTCTCCAGCTCAGCTCTGCTCACAGGCCAGAGCTCCGCTCGAATCTCCTCTGCTCAGCTGTTCCTTGGGTTTATATGGTGGTCCAAGCACACCCCACAACCACGTGTACGACCTGATGCCTAGGTCTGACGCCGTCAAGAACAAAAGACCTCAGACGTGGGCGTGGCTGACAGACGTTTGCCAAGGCTCTGGTGGCCTGGTGGTTAACGCTCTCGCTTCACACGGTGAGGGCCTGGGTTCGATTCCCAGCCAGAGTAGAAACATTGGACGTGTTTCTTTCCACCTGTTGTCTATGTTCCCCATCAGTAAAATGGGTACCTGGGTGTTAGTCGACTGGTGTGGGTCGCATCCTGGGACACTGACCTAAGGAGGCCTGGTCACAGACCAGGCCGCGGGGGCGTTGACCCCCGGAACTCTCTCCAGATAAACTCTCCAGATTAGGCAAGGTGTGACCATATAATTGGTTAAATTAGGTCTCCCCAGAGACTCTCAAGCCCAGCTGGACTACATCACATCCCTCTTTCTCCCCCAATTTAAAATATCTGAGAACTAGGACAATTTGTCCTAGTTATTAGACTCTTTTAATCCTAACCCCTTAAATCTATTACAATACGAAGACAAAATTATACATAATACAAAATTATTCAACTACAGTGGACCCCCGGTTAACGATATTTTTTCACTCCATAAGTATGTTCAGGTGCCAGTACTGACCGAATTTATTCCCATAAGGAATATTGTGAAGTAGATTAGTCCATTTCAGACCCCCAAACATACACGTACAAACGCACTTACATAAATACACTTACATAATTGGTCGCATTCGGAGGTAATCGTTATGCGGGGGTCCACTGTACATATATTTCACTCAACCTTCTCATCTACCACAAGGCAGCATAATCAGTACACCTGGTAGTTGGCCAGCATAACAGTTGCTCTCTGGTGCAAAGCCTCCTTACCCGTCATTTCTCCTTAAACCTAAATATCGGGCTCCAGTGCCTTCCCTACTTCTACTAGAAATGCACTAGCCAATGCTAGTCACCCTCGCACGTTATCCATTGGGCCAAACCTCTCTAGGCTTCTATGGCATGGAAAACTGCTCCAACAGGTTGTATTCTTTCAAGTAACTGCAACTGGACCACTTCACGACCACCAAGGTCGCATTTTCGGCACACTTCACATGCACACTACAACATCTGAAAATCGAGACAGGGCAGGCATCGCAGCTAAGACCCTCCATTATCCTATGCCATTACTAGGTTTCACTGGCCTCATAAAACAAGGCGGCCATAATCACTGGACCGTATTCAAGGTCACCTTATTTCACACAGGTAACACTAACACTTCTGGCAAGTCAAAGTAGGCTGGGGACATCTCAAACTCTTAATTGTGTCTCATGGCTGGCAGGGCATCCCCGCATACCGGTCGTACAGGTCGACCAGCAAG